AGGATGCAGGGTTGCCCAAGCCTTGCTGGTGCCTGTGAGTGGGATGGATGGTGCGGCGGCAAGCTCGCGAGTTGCTTTTTTTTCTCCCCCAATGATCATACCATTGCTTTTGGTTATTTTGGGTTTCTCAACAATCCTTTGATGGTGATTTAGAACGAGCCGGTTCGAGTTCACCATTGAGCAAGCTATTTTCGGTAGGAGTGAGTGGCTTGTAGGCAATAATAACCACAACCCTTTCCGTATTTCCCGTGAGGAATGCGATATCCAAAGCTGCTTGTAGTGCGTTAGTTGAGGCTGGATGCCGAGGAACGCCGTGAATGACAAATGTCTTGGCTATTCAGCGCTCTTCCTCCTTCAGCGAAATTAAACCTGTTGCAGATTGTTGTTTGTAAAGTTCTGGTCCTTGTGTCGATAGTGCAGCTTACGTCATATTCGTTGAAATGCCAACGTTGCAATAATTATAATAATTAATGATACCGAACCAAGGCGCAACCGGCAAACTATGTTGCTAGCCGATCTTTCCTAAAGCTCCCAGTCGGCGCCTCAAGAACCAAGCTCAGAATGCGAGTGGCTATGAGAAAGAAACCGCCAAACCAGCGACCAAGGAACTGTCAAGCTAGTTTACTCTAGTGCAAGTGATTTGATGTTTCGGCCACCCCAAGGAAGGACTTCCCGGGGTTGGATCTGCCACTATTTTTCCTTCGATGATATAACGCAGAGTTTGGGGCAAAACGTTCTCCCTCCTTTCCTGGTTTTATTGGCCAGGGACACCGAAGAGGGGAGCGCCAGGGTGCTTGGCCAATAGCTAGTCACGACTAGCGGGCTCATCACTTTTGTTCTCTGTTGTTCCTGCGAAGTCGTTGCATCCCGGCCACAGCGATGGTGAGACGCCTTTTTAAAATTACCAACGCACAATCTTGGAAGGCTGATTTGCTTGGCCCGAGGCAAGAGCGCTTTTGTCTTTTTGACATCTGATGATTCATTGGCACGCGGTGTTATTTCATGCATGACTCGACAAACTCAAAACTTTTTTTTTTTTTTTTGCCACAGGGTCCTTTGGCACTAGTATGATCATCAAGAGAAGAGCAATGCAAATGCGGTAGCTTGTTACACGGCCTCTAGAAACACGTTTTTGATCATGCATTAATTGTGACAATTGGCCGTGATAACAGTGTCATAGTGGCATAGATGGATTCTCGTTCCCTTTTCAGGTACCGCAATTATTAAGCTTAATACCGTCGATCATCATCTCCATAAAACCAGCCCTTGGTTTGGTAATCAGTCACCAGGAGCCTGGGGCCCAAGGGCGAAAGGATGTGGATACGGCACTTGGGAATGATCCCGATAACGGAATAGCATAACACCGCCTAGGCGGCGGGTAGAGCAATCCAGTGGACGAGTAACTTGCATATGTGGATCCCAACGGGGTCCTGATTTGCCGACAGTTGAATAAATCTGCTTGATTTTATACAAGCATGTACTGTCAAGCAACGTCTCTTTTTTCAAGTTTTTTGATACATCTGTCTCAACCAAGCTTTCGAGATTAGATTCGAGAGTAGCCGAAGTGGGACTCGGATATCTTGACGGTTTCAAGGATGGTTTATCAATGTGAATTGGGGCTTGCAAATTTTGGGAGGGTCTGGCCGGCTGGCAAAAGAAACCCCCACCCCGAGCTCTCGCGCTGGGGGAATTTCCGGCTGAATGCTTCCTCTCGGATCGGATAGAAGAGAACAATGGTGGAGCAAGGCCACAAGAACCCTCCGTACGGAGTACAACCGTCTCTAACAATGAGGGGGCGCAGAGAAGAATCTCCAGCTCTAGCATCCTGCAACTCGGCATACAAATGACAAGAAGTTACAAATGTTTGAAAGAGAGGGGGGGCCACAAAAAATTGTTCGCGAAGCTCAAAAGAATAATTACATCTCTTTTCTGGCTCCCGCACCCCCACAACGGCAGTTGGGCCATAACCCAAATGTTATGTGTGGCTCCCTTGTTGACAGCTGGAGACTGAGGGCCTGTTCGGTGATTTTTCCTGTACAGTGCCAGGGCTGTACAGAAAGTGGATATTTAACTTCTGATGGTGTTAATCTTCATTATTGTCACCTTTTCTTATATGAATAGTAGTCTGCTTAGTGTTTTGACATTACAGAGTACTTCCTTATGAATGGTTTTTTATGATGATGACTATCATACTATTTCAGCAGATATATAGCAGTATGAAAATCCTGTTATCTATCTTTACACATTAAATATCAGTGAAAAATGAATCTTAATGAGTCTTAAATTGATCACTTTTGCAGTGACAAGCCTTATTAACTGCTGTCTATGATATAGATACTGTTATATTACTTCTCAAGTTATATTATCACAGTTACTCATCATAATTGTTGATTTTTGATGATATTTACAGATCTCTGAATGCTGTACTCTGGACTCTGTACTCTGTACAGTCACACTGAGACATGTCAGTATATATCATAACTCATTCCAGTGTATACAGTACAGATTTAACTTGAATAGATTTAGATCTATCACTTTTTCAGCTAAATACACTGTTGAACTCTATAATATGAATCTGACTGTCAGCTTGATATGCTTGGTGAGTTGTACAGAGTTATACACAGAATCTACTGAACAGAAGACCTTATTCAGCCAGGTTAGTGTGTATAACCCCGGCCAGAGCCGTCCAGGGCCGTACAAGCTGGCACTGTACGGACTTATACAGCCCTGGACGGGGTCACCGAACAGGCCCTGAGAGCGCAGGTGCGCGGGCCATGCTCAAGCCTCCATGTATTCCTTTGTTCCTTTACTTGATCTTTTTATCTTTTTGTCTGGGGAAAAAGAAGATCAGAGGGAAGGGGGGAGATGTCATATATATATATTTTTTCTTTTTTTTCGATTCTCTCAGCTTTTCATGTCTCCATCATTTACCTCCCCAAATGGTTTGCGCAACATCCCAAAAAAATATAGATATAACGATAATATATATTACGGCACAACTAAAATATGACAACATATTAATATTACAGCATATTTCAACAGCCGAAGCTCACAATACCCCATTTTTCACATACCTCCTAGCGTATTTTTCCCTTGTTCCATTCCCGAGTTCCAGTGCCGGGCAAAATGTTTAAAATACCCGCCAAGACTCTAAGGATAATTGCTAGCGGAGGATACCGCTCATATGGACAGGAAATCAGGAGAGAGGTCATGTGTGCTGTACCATTTTTTTATTGTGTTTTTTTTTTTTTTACTTTTCTAGAAGAGTTGTCAGATCACAAGTGCTTCTTTGGTCTGTCTGAAAAAGTTCCAGGGATGAATGGGCGCTGATTTGATAGATATATTAGTTACATTTAACTTTTTTTTAAAAAAAAAATCAGTGTAATCATTTAGTTACTCTTGTTGAGAATTTTTTTTTTTCCGTTTAGCCTTTTTTTCAAAAGTTTCTTTTGTCTGTCTGTTTCAAAGAAAGAGCCTTTCCGCATGGTTCGATTTCAGGAACGGGGAATTTTTTTTTTCTTAATGTTCGCCCGTTGAAAAAAGTTTGGGGGTATGATGTCATTACAACTCTGTGCTGCGTAGGTGCTTGGGCCCAAGATTGCTCGTGAATTAGAAAGCCGAGGACGTCGTGGCAATAGGCCTCGGGTCGGACTGCGCTGTACAGTACATGTACAGTACATGCTACTGTACATTTCAACATCCATGCCCCTGTAGTTATTACGTACATATATATATATAGTTATATACAACTACAGCGTAGACCATGTTGAGATTTCAAAGCACAAGTAGTATAAAACTACTACAATTATTATTATTGACTCGCGCTTTGCAACATTCACTGTTACTATTTGATGAGGGGAAAAAGGGCAGCTGCTACTGCCAAGACATAAATTACGCGTTGAATAACCTTAGAATGCATGTTTACGCGATCACGTGATATTCCATAGTTCGCGTTGAAGGGCGCGTTTTCCGTCCATGTAAAAAAAAAAGAAAAAAAAAAAAGAACCAAAGATAGAAAATGTGTATAATTGTGAAGGCTAGGTAAGCAATAATAATAACCTTTGCTACACGGCTTGTATTGGAGGGATAGTATAGTACTGGCTAGGGCTGATTAGGTGATCCGGAGATAACAAGTGCCAAGTGATAGTTTAGAGGGACCTTGAGAGCATGGAATTCCGCCGCTCTGTAACATACATACGATAATTAATAAAATTACTAGGATAGACAGTTATAATGAGAAGAAATATTATCTTTGTCTGAAGAATCATTATTTTTGGTCAATTTTGAATAACTATTTCTTCTGCTTCTGGCATTATTTTTGCGCCAAAAGAAAGCAAAAAAAAAAAAAAAAAAAAAAAAAAGCTTGTTTCTTCAAGAAATGAATCACTTCTTTTAGCCTGGAAACAAAGAAAAATTGCAGGGAATATTTTTTTTTTTTTTAAATTTCTTAAACTTTTCTATGCGTTGTCTAATACTCAGCATTTGATGACTTGAAGAATAAATAATACAACCTACGAATGAATGCATTTCATCCTCACTGCTCAACTGACCTTTTCTAGTCCCAGTTCTCAGGCACTTGTCCGAACAAGACATTTTCCGCGAGAAAGTCAATCAATAAATAAATGAATAAATGGTTTCATGGTACTGAGAGTTGCCAAGCTCCGCGCGTGTTTAATTAATAATGAGGGAAAAAAAGTTGTTTATTTGTGCATTCGCCACATCCTAGTATTGGAACGGGGGTAATTATGTGGTATGTATCGCTGGTTAGTACATTTACCGGTTCATACGGCGCATGGCGACGGTGTGACGGTGCGTGGGCGTAGGCATGGTTTTATCGGCGCTGCAGCTTGTTGGCGATCGTCCATCCCCCCACGATAACGGATTATCTTGATTCTTATTATTAGGTTCGTATCTGGCGGGCAAATTGGTGATTTTGTTCGCTGGCCTTTTCTGAGAAGGGGGCCTTTGTTTTTCTTGGGATGGATGGAGGGAGGGAGGGAGGGAGGGGGGATATACTTGAAAGAGGAGGTTTTGTTCGTGATTTAGAATGACGGGGTGCCCTTTTTCTGTAAGTTACAAGGAATTGCGCGGTTATGATTATGAAAAGAATAATAATGAATGCCATTTGGTTGTGATATCTATGGGATCGGGGAGGTAAAACCCTGGAAAGGAAGCGCGATTACAACAAACAAGCAACCTAACAACACATTCCAAAGCGCGCACTGATTGACATCATGTTGTTTATAGTAGCAGGCAGTCAGTAGCGGGAAAAAGTTATTTATTTCCGTATCAGTTTTCTTCCACCTGCGTTGCTTATAACAGACCCGCGTTTCCCCCTTATTTCTCCTCTACTTCGTAACCTCCCCTTCCCTTCCCGGCCTCCAATTATCCCCTCCCCCTCCTACCCCTCCTCCCGCTTCCACCCCCAAATTCCTGGATACATACCTTCCTCCCTCGCACAAGCTTCCACAAGCTCACACAAGCTCCCGCCGCCCCTCCTCCACCTCCCCTCGTGGTAGTACCAAAAAATTAAAAAATTAAAAATTAAAAAAAATAAAAAATAAAAAATAAAAAAAATAAAAATAAAAACCAATAAGAAGTGACCTCACATTTTCAAGGATTTTTTGATACCGATGTCAGTTCCGCACATGTCAAATCTGCAAGCCACTTGAAACTAAAAGCTCCCCCAACCGCGGAACACAGCGAGAGTGGCGTCCCACCGCCATCTTGTCTAGATTTGCTCCAATGTTTCCTTTTTAGGGATTTTGTTCATTATTTCCTGCACAACTTTCTCTTCTTACTGCTGTGCTTCCTTCTGGCGTTAGATGTTGCCACCCACCCGTGGGAATCAGGAGAGTAGAAACGATGTACATGTACATTGTACATGTTAGAATACATACATACATACATGTAGTTTATTTTTACTTTTTTAAACCGGTCAATATCCAGAGTTCAGGAACATAGTATTCGGACGCAGTCCCAAGATTTCCAGTACCAAAGTACTCCGTACCAAACACCGAAGAGGGACGGTTCGGTTCCGAGATGAGATTTCAAAAGAATCTCTTTGAAGAAAAGACTATCCGTGAGATTATATTTTGCTCTGTATTATTTTTGTACGGTATAGCTATACACCTATCTGTATCTGTATGTGGTGACCGGAAGATATACTGTTTTGGAACTACTGTTATTATTTTTATCTCATCTTGAGCGAGCGAAGCGAGTAAGCAGTGGAGACAGCATAACGGTGACCCGAAGAAAAAGTGTTGATATCAACAAGGTTTTTCGGTTCGAAGCTTGGAACCTGGCGTCGTTCCCCGAGGACCAGGAGGCGGGACAGACAGGCCAGACACAAGGCGAGTCAGTCAGTCAGTCAAGTCAGCCAGTCAAGTCAGTCAATCAAGTCAATAAATCAATCAAGTCAGTCAGTCAGTCAAGTCAGGCAGGCAGGCAAGGCAGGCAAGGCATCAATCATTCATCACATCATTATCATCCCGGAGTACAACGTGGTAGTTACCGGTCTCCGTACGGCGTGTACACAGGGTACACAGCAACAGCAAGTACGGTTTGCCTTTTTATAAGGTAAGTTAACTACTTACTCCGTACAATGTATGCATTATTATTATACATACAGATACGCATACAGATACATACCAAAGGGGGGGGCGGGCTAACTGCCACCCGCCACGCGCGCTGACAGCGATAAGTGTGTTGCGTGGTTGGTTGTTGTGTTTCTGCTTGCTGCTGTTTCTTTTTTTTCTGCGCTTTTTCTTCTTTTTCTATTTTTTTATTTTTAATTTTTTTTATGCCTTTCCTCATCGTCTCTTCATTATTATTATTATTATTATTATTATTATTGTTATTATTATTATTATTATTATTGTTATTATTATTCTCTGTTTCTTCTCTTCATCATCAATCCTCCTCCTCCACTAGCCCCAAAGCATATCCATTTCCCTCTTCTTTTCTTTTTCTTCCCTTTTTCCTTTCTTTTTTTTTCTTCTTCTTCTTGCTGCCCACACTCACTCTCCTCTCCGTCCCTTTCCCCAATTACCATTAACGTACTGCAACGCACTCCAGCAACATACTCCTTCTACTCCTTCTTCTCCTCCTCCTCCTCCTCCTCCTCCTCCTACTTCTTTACTCCTCCTAACTTTACTTACTTACTATACATACCCTCTGCCACTCCTCCTCGTCCTATCTCCTTCCTCTCTCCCTCTCTTTCCATCTCGATTCCCGAGTCGTTCTTTTAACCGTCCCTAGACTCATTCTTTCACCCTTCTTTTGTTTCTCCATTCTTTCATCTTTCTTTTTGTCCCCTGCCCGTTGTGCCCCGGTGGAGCCTTGTGGGAAAAACAAAATCAAACAAATCCCCAATTATCCTCCGATTTACCTTTGAACCCCTCCCTCCCTCCCCTCCCTCAATCCCTCCTCCCTTGTCCGCCGCGTGCGTGGTCGTTGCTCCAAGTCTGTTTGGCAGCCTCCACTCGTACCCGTCCCCAGGGTGGAGCCCCGGTAGTAGTCTATCTATCTCACCCTCGACCACGTCCTAACTTTCTACTGCTACCTCATCGACCCATCATCATCTCTCTCCCTCTCTCTCGCGCTCTCCACCACAACACACACACACGCACACACACACACTCTCTCTCTCTCATATACACACACACTCTCTCTCATATACACACACTCTCTCTCTCACTGACTCTCTATCCCGCGCACACTCATACGCTCTCTTACTCTCTCTCAAGCTGGTGGCTTAGGGAAGTTGTCTGCTGTCCGAATTTGATTGTCGCTGTGCTATACGATACGCGACTCTTATTCGCGAATTGGTTTATTCCTTTCCGGTTAGTTCACCGTCCCTTCTTCGTCTTCTTCTTCTTCTTTTAATTCCTACAATGAACGAGATGGAATGCAAGAACGTTGTGGACACTGTGATGCACGCATGCTTCAAGCATGACAACAAAGAAGCAGACCCGTCTCATTGGGCGTGGCATTCGTATTGGTAGGATCTTGGCGACTGACAACGTGCAGTTTTCCTCCAACAGCGCGAAACAACTCGCGCCACCCCCCCCCACCCCCGGTAAATAATTATATATATATATTTTTACAAGAAGTCGTCGGGGCGTTTAAGAATCCACAATCGATGGTTTGGACGATCCTACACGGTAACGGTTCGATTTTTTCCTCTATTTCTTTCCTTCGTTATGGATCCCAACATTAGATCGCATGCCTCGAGGACCCCATCGGCAAATATCCCGCCTCAAGGACCCCCACCTCTGTCCAATCTGCATCAGTATCAGATGCAGCCACACTACTCGATGGCGCAACCGCATACTCTGCCCCCGCTGCAGCATCCACAGAGCCATTCCCCTGTGCATCCTTCCTATCTAGGACAGCCCTATAGACATGAGATGCCCCGGTATCCACCCACGTCCTCCAACGACGTGTATGCTGCGTCTTCCGCTCCTATGCCGCCTCATACTACCGTCAACAGCTTGCCCCCGTCTTCATTCTTGACCCACCATCACATCCAGCAACAATTCCCGTCGCATGGCTTATTGCCCCCGTCGACCACTTCGCCGGCCTTTCCTCAGCCCATTGCGCCGGCTCCTCCTCGGGATCGAAGAGCGGATTATGGTGGTGCTTTACCCTCCGGTGCGTTCAGTGATACAGGACCCAAAGGACCCATAGTGACAACTACAAATAGCTTATCTAATTCCCCTGCAGCTTTCGTTCCAAAGGACCCACCGCGCACCCAGGTAGTTGGATCCCAGGGCCGGAGAGGGATACTTCCAAGCGTTCCAGGGCGGGCTGCTGCCATTACTAACGGTGCAAACGGTACCACCAAGACGGCTATCCCTGCTAAAGACGCGGATGGGAAATTCCCTTGCCCACATTGCAACAAGACATATCTGCATGCAAAGCATCTTAAACGGCATCTGTTGAGGCGTAAGTGGTTCTCAGCCCGATCAACCCATTTCTATGACCGGCATATACTCTCCGGTTTGACAGTTAAAAAGTCTTTTTCGTTTTTTTAACCACTTTTCAATACAGATACTGGTGATCGCCCGTATATGTGTGTTCTGTGCAAGGACACATTCTCCCGAAGCGATATTTTGAAGCGCCACTTTCAAAAATGTTCGTTACGTCGGGGCAATCCGACAGGTGTGAGCCACTTGTCGCATCCCCACGCTCATCTGAAGAAAGCTCAGGCAGCGGGTATTGTCCCCAAACCTGTTTCAGGAGATGTCAGTAGCTCCGTCCCGACTTCTAATGGTATCGTCGGAACACCGTTTGGGGAAGGGGGGCATGTGAACGGGGTTGGCATGGCCTCTGGTCATCACAACCCTGGATTTACGGATCAACGGCCTCTTGGTTATCAGATGCACCCTGTTGGCGGGATGAGCCGTGGTCCTGTCGATCATGGATACGCCCAAAACCAGATGCATCAGAGAGCTCCCTGGATGGCTGAACCCAAGCAGAGTTCGTATCTCGCGCAGTCTGGAACTGACACAACTGCCCAGTCGAACGTTGATTTACCCCCTATCGATGCAGCTAAATCTTCCAACAATATGCCTGACAACAAGCGCCCTGGCATGCCTACCGGGCCTAACCCCGGTCAATCCGGTGAAATCGACTGGACATCGATGTTCCAAGCTGGCACTCAGGATGGTTACATGCAGCCAATGTTTCCAGCTTCAGTAGCCCCCGTTCCCGACTCGATGCATTCTCAAGTTGAGACCGATCGCAAGTACTACCCGGCCGCAACGAGTGGGCAACCCGAAGGTGGATTGAATGGACTTTATTTAGCTTCTACTAGCTTGGGCGGTGACGGTACGCTCGACTCATACCCTATCTGGAATTTTAACATGTCGCAGCATAACCCGCTGCAACGTAAAGCGGACCGCCTCATTGACTTTTGCTTTCCTACTGGATTACAGGAACCGTTCAGCCTGCACGCCAATAACGCACAGGTGCTGAAGGATTGCTTGACGGCCGATAACGTGAAACATTTTCTCGAACTCTTTACGAATTACCAAGGCCATTGGCCCTATTTACATATTGCCACTTTTAATTTTTTAGATGCGTACGATGGTCTTATTCTTGCCATGTGCTGTATTGGAGCTGTTTATTCCGACCGTGTTGAACCGGACCTGGTTCGGAGTTTGGTAGCTGTTACCAAGGCTGCCATACTGCGAACCTCCCGCATTCAGAATGACCTACGAACCGGCATTGCCTCAGACCCAGATTCTTCGATCAAAGTGGAGCCCACTGATGTTCCTCAGTCCTTGTCAGCCAATGACATTGAGGAGATGCAGTCAATTTTTATGTTAAATACTCTGAGTGTTTGGCATGGTGATCCGAAGCAACGAGCCGCAGCACGGTCCGATATTTCCTTATTTGTTCGCTTTATTCGTCGCTTTCGTTTGCTTGAGCCTGCGGGCCCCGATGATCCCTCGTGTTATAGTTTGCTTCATAATATGCCTCATGAGAAAGCGGTTGACATTTCCGACTGGAATTGGCTTGCTTGGGTAGAACAGGAAAAGAGATCTCGTCTTGTATTCATGTTCTATTTAGCAGATGCCGCCATGGTAATGTTTTTTAACTGTCAACCACTTCTAAATCCTCAGGAGATTAAGCTTCCCCTACCTTGTGACGATGCTGCATGGGAGGCAAGAGATCCTCAGCAATGCGCCGATGCCTTGGGACTTAGAGGTCCTGATGTTCAGGCTATTGTGAATGTGACTGGCAGTTGCCGGATAAAACAGCTTGAGATGAATCAGGCTTTGTCCGCTTTGCAGAGTCCGGTTGTTGATTTCCGCCGAAGAGCCACAAACGTCTACTCGAAGTTCATTCTCATTCACGCGCTACTTGTCCAAATCTGGCTCGTTCAGAAACAACTATCTCTTAACGGCGCTCCTGAGGACGACAACGACAGGACCATATCTGAGGGTTTCAGTGCAAGCGACATATATAATCCCGTCTCCCGTTCCGACTGCGCATCCATGGACGGAATTATCTCCAAAAACAGCCCAAGTAACGGTCACGCTAACCCCACCGACGGCAGTCCTTCGAATGCTCCATCATCATCACACGCCAATATTATATACAACTCCACAACTCAAGGTTTAAAGAAGTGGAAGCGTGTATGGGATGAAGATATGTCAATACAATATCCGCCAACTCCGACCTCAACCTGGCGGTTTGGATTCTGTCGCGATTCTATCCCTTACTACTGGCTCGCTCAGGCCCTGCTCTGCCCCAACCGGCAGAACGACTGGAAACTGACGCCTGATGCACGTCTTATACACATTATGACAATGCTCCAGAAAGTTCGTGGATATGCTCAGACGGATGCGGCGCAGAGGGGCGAGGGACTTGGTTCTATTAGTGACATTGATGATGGCTATGCTATCAAGGATCTTACGCTTGATATGAAGTTATTGTTCAGACCCATACGGCAACAGTTCGAAGGCGATATATACGTTCAACGGATATGAAGTCTTCACGTTATAGCACCTATAGCAGGGTGGGTTTTCCGGGTTCGATTAACGGTTTCCCTCGTCCAATATCATCAGGTTCAAAGGCAGGCAAGGTTAAGCAATCCGACAAAACAAGGTACCCACGCAAACGCAAGCACGTAACGGCCGAATCAACCCTTTTTGCGACATTTACCGAAGGTTACGCTACATTATTCCTTTTGTTTATTTCCCCATCATCGAGCAGCAGCACCAATACCAAGCGCGCTGGGCCGCCGGGTGCAACCGCCACAATCTCTTTTCAAAGGCAAAAATCGGACGACACGAAAACCACATTTAGCATTTATAGACTCGGACCGGAGCATTTAATTTTTTGGTTTTATTTCATGAATGGGTTCACCAAAAGAAAAAAAAAAAAAAAAAGAAGGTTCTACTTTCCTTCCCCTTCGTTCTGCTCTTTCCGCAAAAAAGAAAAAAGTACCTCCGCTTATATTTTATTGCATTCATTTCATCCGCTTGTTCACGTTATCGGTTTTTCTCTCATTCCGCTCACTCACTTGATACATATTCCCCACACATATACACCGTGTTTTCTTGCGGATAAAGAAAAAAGAAGAGGAAGGAAGAAGAAGAAGGAAAGTTATATACCGGATTATGTTCATGTTAAACGGCCGTCTTTTTCGAAACATCCAGAGCACAGAAAGAACAGCATATACATACATTCTTCATCCCCTTCAATTACATAGTTTTCTTTTCTTTTCTTCATATTCTGTTTCTGATTTTTCCATTGAGATGTACAAGACCTTTTCTTTCTTTGTTTTCACTCACATAAAAGATTTCTTTATTGTTCATCAACTTTTTTCTCATCACACTGGCTTTTTTTGGTGGCTTTGGGAGGGTTTGGTGGTTTGTGTGTGTTTTTTATTTATGCATTGCTGAAAGTTTCCTGTGTCTTGTGTTCTATTTGTCTATTTTCCTCTCATCTTTTTTTCTATTTCTGTTTCTGTTCTGCTCTCGTGTTTGCTATCTCATCTTTCTTTTATTTTTGCATATCTCTAACAAACTATAACCAACTTCAATAACAAATAAATAAACAAAATATTAAGAAAAAAGCTTTAATATTATATCTCATATTATATTATATCCTCTCAAAGGAATTCCTGACTTTGAGATGGGTTTTCTTTAGGAAATTTCTTCCTCATAGTTACCCTCATTCCCACGTACCCCGACGAAGGGAAATTGAAGAACGACGAAAGTAGAAGTTCATAATGATTGTCTTTGCAATTGCAATTGCAGTTTCTTTCCCCCCCCCCCCCTCTTTTAGGTAACTGTGGTTGGGCTATAGCTGCCTTTTCTTTTGTTTGTTTTCTTTTCATTTTTCCATTTTTATATGCGATTGAGCGTCCAATTTTCTACGGGTGAAGTGTAAATCATGTGACCTACAAATGTCCACGTGACATAATTTTGTTTTCGTCCAATTGGGGCAAAGGGGCGGCGTTTTCTTCCCCCGAATTTCCCGAAACGATATATATCCAATTCCTCCATAAAAACAGGAACGACCTCTTCCATATCCAGAGAAACCAAAACAAAAGACCCCCCGATCTATAATTCCTGTGGGATCCTCTTCTTCCCCGTCTCTTTTGTCGCTCTCGCTCTCTTTGCGTTGCGTTTTTGACAATGGTACGTTCTTGATGATTTTCCTTGTTTTTGTGGTTTTTGGGGGGGGTGTTGCTTTCGTTGTTTGGCGGGTGGGTTTGGTTTTGGTTTATTGTGGCTCGGATTGGAGGAGAGGGGGGGGGGGGGCCTAAATTGGGGGTTGGGATTGGGATTCGAGGGTTTCTTTTTACTTTTTTGCTTGTTGGCTACCTCTGGGCATGATTGGGGTTCATTGGCGGGATGGAGCGTGGTTTGTGGTTGCGATTCGGGGTTTGATATGGATGACGACGACGACGACGACGACGACGACGATGATGGGGATGGGGATGGGGATGGGGATAGACAGGAAACCCAACACGACGTAACGCAGCTGTGGGAATCGCCCCCGCGCGTTTTCAATTAACGAAATTCCGCGAGTCGCAAAAAGCCAGACACCACACAACCACCCTGTGCTATTTCCGGACCCGTAACCATCGGGGCCAGCGACTTAGCCGGGTGGTGTGTTGGATTCATTTCAATGCGATTCTAGCGCGTACCGTGGTCCTGGTATCTCATTCCACCACCGCCGCTGCCGCTGTCGCTGTCGCTGCCGTCGTCGTAGTCAATCACGAACCCAATTGCGAAGAACGGGGGACATGCAAGATCGAGGAATTTTTGAAGATTGCCGCTCTTACCTGAGATTTATTTCTTTTATTTCTTTTCATCGGCGTTTCCCTAGACCTATATATATACGTGGAGAGGGGGGGAAATGGAAATGGCAATGGAGATATTATCGAGGAGCATTTTTTTTTGCTAACAGCGACTGGTTTTTTTTTTTCTTTTTTCCTGGTACATAGGTTTCGCCTTTCGCCGCTCGCTCGGCCGCTTCCCCTGCGTCGACTACGAACCACCGGAGTCCCTTTGCGCTTAGGTGAGGATTACAATCATTGTTTGCGTTTTCGGGCTTGTTTCACTCGCTCTTTTTTGGCTTGTTTTTGGCGCGCGTGGGCGCGATGCTGGGATTTTTATTTTTTTCCCCCTCGCGGAGTGGGGGGTGTCAAATATGCCGAACGGTGGCTTAGAACGTATCGGAGGATCTAGAGTTGTTTGCGCAGGGGCTGGGCAAAATGTCGCATTATCCGGCGATGAAGAAGGCTTTATATTCATGACATTTTCAACCAACAGCTCTAGCAGAAGAGGAGAAAGGAATAGATATTCATACCGGCTACCTATAACCAGGCTCTGATGAACCAGTTATGGATGAGGGAGACATATTATACCGGTCGATCGATATTCATTCACAATGGACGGATTGTTAACCTTGCCGTACCGACTGATATAGTTGCTTTTCCTGGGAGCACGACGCTAACCATGAATTTTGTATTCAGATACAAGAAACAACCTCACTATGCCGGCTTTCCTCTGAAAACCTCTGTTCGATAGTAAGTATCTCTTTTCCTTCCCGATCCCGATCTCTACCATATGCGTTTATCTGGGAACATGTGACCCTCCTCCCACTCAAGCCCACCGATCCGTACGCCCCAATTCCAATCGAATATGACTGTCATATCACTAACTCATCGTCCCTTTTTGTTTCCCCTACTAAACAGCGGCACAATTGCCACAGCCTTCGGCGCTACCGCCGGAATCTTCGCCGTCTTCTTCTTCGGAGAGGTCCCCCGCGTCCGAAAGGATATCCTGATGAACATCCCCGTCATTGGCGGATACTGGGAACGAAGCATCCCTCCGGAAGATAACGTGAGTTAATCCCCCCCTTTGGTTTCCCACCATTTCGCTACGTTGTCTATTCAGATATGTGGGGTTGGCTCATATTTTGCGAACCGAGGACTGATCTGGATTTTCTTTCTTTCTTTCTTTTTTTTTAAAAAAATCTAGCCCTTCTAAACCATCTCTCTATGTATTTCTTTTTCGAGCTTGAGGTCTGCTCCGTATTTGCGAAACTATATAGAAAGGAGCGGAGGGGGGGCTCTGGTACTTGTTTCGCCCGTTTCTTTTTGATTAGATTCATATGTATGGACCTGTTGCGCGATTGTGTGTGTGTGTGTGTGTGTTGATCCGGACCAGGAAAGGGGGAGTAGATTGTAGCACCTATGTAGTATAGAGCGAACACAAAAGCATTCTCCTACCTATTCCCACTTATCTGCCCCAAGATAAAAACAGAAAATTGTCGATAAAAAACCATAATAAACAAAGAGGAGCGGAGTATTTTATATTCATTCCCCTTCGCGCCCACGCCCATACAACAGTTGTATACATATAGACTATACTATAATAGTACATGTACATGTACATGTGCAAAATGCAAAATGCAGAGAGAAGACAGACAGCCACGCCACGGTAAAAATTTGTATATCCATCCCATATATCCATCCCATACATCCCACAAAAAACCAAAACAACCCTGAAAGCATTCTCTCATCTCCTGCACTTTTATTTATTTATTTCCCCCCCTCCTCATTTCCCCACCCCTCTCATTCCCACTCTCCCTCCTCCCCTTGCGTTTCCCTTCCTGTTGGTTGACAATGACACCGCGAGGAGGGAGGACATGTACAAGGTGAGAGGGAGAAAATGGAGAACATGGAGCATGGGATGGTTTATTACATGAAATGATTGTCCGCGCTCAACACGAAATGAAAAAGCCAATAAAAGAAGATAGATGGTGCGAAAAAGGCGGGAGAGTGGGAGAGAGAGAGAGAGAGAGAGAGAGAGAGGAAATGGAAAACGGGAGGAAGGGGATATTTATTTTAAATATTATTATTCTTTTATTTTTGGGGGAAAACAAACCGAAAAAAAAGAAAGAAAGAAAGAAAGAATAAAAGAAAAGGCCTTGATGTGCATGTGAGACGAAAGCGGACTGACTTGCACTGACTGACTGAGTGAGCTCGCTTTTTCATAATCTGTTCCATGTTCCTTTTCTTTCTTTATTTTTTATTTTTTATTTTGCAGTTTCTGCAAAGAAAACGCCAGATGGCATGAAAAAACAATATTGCGCCTTTCTTCAAGGGGAAGCAGGAAATGTGTTGCCTCTTCTCCTCTCCGGAGCCTCCTATATTCGCCTTAACATATAGATGGCCATCGACCGACCTGTCATCCCATATGGATCCATTACGGGATTCGGACGAGTAGTTGTCGTAGCTTTTTCGTAGTTCTTTCGTGCTCTTCGTTTTTGTGCACCAAATGATATTTTGCCTGCGTTGATCATGAATATTCATAGCAGTCATGTTGTTTTCCCTCTCTCCTCTCGCTCCGCCAGATGTTAAAAAAACAAAAAACAAAATCAAGGACCAATGGGGTCGTCTGTGGAATCTGAATCTGAGACTCTATACATATTGTCGTCGTGGGAAAACCTCCACCACACCGGCAACCGAAAAAAAAAAAAAAAAAAAAAAAAAAACCAAATAGCGGCCAACTGGGGCGAGCGGGTGGTGGAAAAAAGGACCATTTTGACCAGTAAATAGGGAAATATATATTTTCAACACTCCCCCCCTCGTCTCCCTTATACTCAGAGACAGACAGACCATGCTCCCTTGTTAAAGGCTGAGCTGGTCAGCACTCCCAACCCTCCCTAGATGTCGTCCCCCTTTAGTTACCAAACCCAGCGGATAGAACCGCTCTTCACCCGCAGCAGTCCGGCCACCTACATACCACTTCTCGGGACCCATGGCATCGCGGAACCCGCCGCTCCCACTGCTGCTGTCACTTCCCCGACGGTGCCTGTTGTGGGAGGAGGGTATGGGTATTGGTAATGGCGCGGCGGGTGCTGGGCTCGTGGAGTGAGATTGTGCATGTGGGTTTGTGCTGCTGTGATGTTGTTGCTGCTGCTGCTGTGGATGGTGATGATGATGATGGTGGTGGTGGTGGCGGTGGGAGTGGTGGGGATGCAGTTGGCCTGCAGAGGCGGAGGCGGCGGCGGCGGCGGCGGCTTGAACGGCAGCGGTTGTGGATTGGGGTGGCGGACTTGAGGAGATATTGTTGTTTGTTGTTGTGGATCCGCCTGCGGCCGTTGAGGATGAGGACACCGCTTTTGTAGTTACAGTTCGTGTGTTGGGGGATGTGGACGGGGATTGGGTAGCTGAGGTTGAGGCTGTAACGTGGGATTGTGAGAGGGGGTTTGTCGTAGAGCCCGTCGAAGGCGGTTTTGACGATGCCTTGTAGGCGGATTGGGCGCGGAAAGCTGCCAGGAAATTGGCTAGGAATGGGCGGTTGGTTGACATGGCGTCGAAGTTGTGATACGGAGCGTTGAGAGGGATGTGGTTTTTGTTTCAGAAACGGGTGATTTGAGCCTGGCTTGCGCTGGGCTCTTCTTGCCACCCTCCCGCTGGCCGTTCTCAACTCTTTTTATCCCCGAACAAATTACGCCCTCTGGCCAGGACGGGAGTACACAACTGAACCTCTTATTCGAAATCTGAGAGATTGGTAAGATAGAATCGACAGGTTGTATGTCACCGTTCGGGAGGTGTATGAGGAGGTGTGACTTAATTCGACCAAAGTTAGCGGAACTGTCTAGACCTATCCCCGGCAAGTAGTCCCGAGGGAAGTATTTAAAGGTGTGGTATATATATATATATAGCCTCTTACCGAATGCTTCCGTCCCTTTATGCCGTTGCGATATTGCGAACTAAAAGATGGGGGGAAGGGAGGGGCCTGATCTGATGCCTGCGATCTATTTACGCTAGGGTTGGTGCGGAGTAAACAAAACAGGTTTTGAGAGCAACGGAGAGGAATTCAATAGCAACGTGGTGGGAGGAGATATTTAGACAGGCGATTCCAAATCCCGGACGATGATAATAATGAATGATATCTAATACGAGATATTTAAGTAGGCTAGGGTTTGGTAGTGTAAATAGTTGGGGTTTGGTTTTTCGATCGGCTTTGTTTTCAAGAAGTTCGAACTATTCCGCGACTATTCTCGCCAACCCGCTGCTGACGCTTGAAAGGATGGGGGGATGAAGCGGGGTGGGGTTGGACCAAAGAAAAAAATAAAGTAAAAGGTAAAACTCAAACTTCAGATGGGACGATTGGCGATTTGCGATGGTTGAAGTTCGAGGATGAGATGAGGATTGATGAGGATGAGGTTGATTGATATTGATGATGATATCAGAGGTTCTGGGCGGCGAGGGAAAAGTCGGAGCCGGCGCTGGGGAACCTCGGAGCTTATCGGGTGCGGCATTCCTACGGGCCATACATGTATATTATGTATATGTATGTATATTTTGTAGCATCACTGTTTGATATTTATATAAATATTTGGACATCCTATAACTATCATTTTATACAGTGTCATATATTCTCTTGTCTCCTCTCCTAGCTATATGTCCTATTGTTGTCGTCGTCTCCCGCTGGTTGCGCTGGCGCCATGGCGGCTGAAATTGACCTCCCTGCGCTACCTGTGTGCTCTGACACATGTCTCTAGATATATAAAGTGATATTATTTGATGACAGTGCTTGAAAATCAGGCTGAGGGTTGGCAACAGCTGAATGGGTGGAGGAAATCAGTTAAAGGGCTTATTAGGAACAGGGGCCGCGATGTAGTTGAGGAAAGTATGCAGCAAAAGAAGCAGTCCGTCCAATACGGGAGTCATTAAAAATGTCTCTTGCACTTAGAAGAAGAATCAAGGATTTGTCTTCATGTATGTTCATCTTTACGAATGGGAGTTTAAAGCGACTTGCTGTGTAACTATCGGTCTGGTGTGCCAGCCTTGAATTAAATGGGAAGAAGCGAGGGTATTTGTCATAGCCTTGCCGGCTTCTAGCCCACGGTCATCCTGCGATATCTACTGGTAGTTGAAGTAGCGATAATGATCCAGATGTACCCACGATGGTGGCTCTATTTCACAAGGCGATATATTTAATCAAATGCTCTCGGGAGGACGGGAAAACGGCACGCTGTTCTCTGCACGAGGCTTACACACGGCTATTCCTCCTCCCACGTCTGCCCTAGCCAGTCGGTTTCCTTGTAGGAAGCTGTCGCACACCAGGGCTGGTCTTGCGGGGTATATGGACTCAGAGGCAGATCGTACGGCATACGCAACCCCACAAATGTAGTAGTAGTAGTAGTAGTCGTTGACGAGCCGCTGTCCTTGTCTACTCTGACTTCAGGCATATCCTGCTTAAAGCAAGGTAACATCACCGCGACTTTGTTCTTATCTTCCCGTGCCCCTCTCCTGCCATTCTCCCGTGCCTTTTTCCCTTTCCCCTTCTCCTTCCACCCGCTTCCATCATCATCATCATCATCATCATCGTCATCATCGTCATCTTCATCGTCATCCACCTTTCTGTTAACAAATAAATCAGGCCAGACTATCACGCCTATTTCCCAACTACATATCCGTATCTCTTTCTTCCCATTCGCTGCAGCGCCCCAGGCTTGCAGCGAAAGGTTTGCAGAACTCACCATTGCCCAGTCGATGGTGGTCAGGTCTGCATCTGAGAAACGGATGTATGTTTTTATATGCGGTGCTGCTCGGCGACGTCCTGCTTGCCGAATTGGCTGGCCATTTTTGTCGATGGTAGCGTGTTTTTGACTGGATTCACTGGCGTCCTTGCCCCGTTCTCGCCTGGCGTTGGTATTGGTTGAGCCCTGTCCGGAGATATCACTGCCATCGCTGGCATCACCATCGCCTGCCCAGCGACATAGATATGGGCGCAAGTACTCAAGTTGCTTTCGCTGTGCGGAGCTCTGGAGTTTCATATGGATAGATCCGCCGGATGCGTAGCCATTCAACGATCTGCGGATTTCATCTGGGGTGGGAAATATAATTGAGAATTTGGCAGGCGGGTTTGTCTTGGGTTTGAATAAACCCGAGGAGCTAGACCGCGATGGCGATGGAGAGAGTGCAGCGAAGAATGTCTCTTTTAGCCACTTGTCGGTTTGACCTAGTGTTGCCACTGAAGATATCTGGTGATTTTGTGTGCGTGAGTAGGGTACTCCTAGAAGCGAGGCCTTCCGACCCTAGCATTGAGCATGATCGTTTCTCACCTGTATGACTATTTGGGGTCTATTCCCTGTAGTATTGGTCCCCTTGTTAAGTGGGATTTGTTGTATTGCATCCTTGAGTGCAGGCCAGCCCCAGAGCGTATGTTTTTCCGAATCTAGTTCGTCAATTGCTTGCCTTGAGGGAACACTGGCTACCAGCCCAGCTCGAACGGTGCTAAAATCGTACTTTTCAAGTTGGTCGACGAGAGGGCCAGTCTTTTTACGGCCATAAGCCTCGAGATACGCTATCAAATCTCTCTTGAATCGAATTCCTGACCCGAACCTGTTCGAAGCGGTAGAACCTGGCCCATGTTCCATTTCAGGACACATGGGAAGTAGCGGAGATCGCCAAACTGCTTGACACATATTCGCCCAATCTCCAGCAATCATGTTGGCCGTGTGAATAACAACCCTGTATAGATATTAGTGTCACTGTAGATAGCTTTTTTGAGCTAAGTGTGCTTACTGAACTTGGTCGTCATGCCTGATAAGGATCATCATTTTCGAATGATGTGTCCCAAATGGTTCTGGCATATAAGCGACTATTGGCTCGACGTTGGGATACCGGCGGCAACTTTCCTGCATACGAGTTAGCACAGCTAAACAGCTGAATTATATGCTCTGGATGTCTAATGCATTGAGGGAAGTTGTGGAGCAGGAGACTTCTTCCCAGAAAGGATGTAGGAGAGTTAACTGACATCGATATGAATTCGATTGGGAGACTCCCGTTTCCAAGAGCCATGTACGATTTTCACATTTACCAAATTCCGCACATCTTCATCAAACTGGCTCATCAGAAAATCGACGTCAAACATGTAGTTGAACTGCCAACTTTCTTTGATGAGAGGGTCCCCGAGAATATCCCGCAACCTGACAGCATCCGCATTGTTCCCTGATGATGCAGAGAAATCGCGGATATGTGTGAGCTGGATTGGAGATGGGATGTTCTTTGGTGTTGAAGGAGCTTTTCCTTGCGGTTTATTTGGACTGGATGTCCTAGGCTGCCCTGAAGGCTGCCGCCGTAAAGGGGGTGTGATGGGTCTGTTGAGGGATGCCAACGTGCTAACATCTTGTAAAGGGGTATCGTAGCCCTCTTCTTGCAAAGTTTCATGAGAGCTCTTAAACCTCTTTGAAGGGCGTCCGCTATCCGTCATAGTTACCGGATATCCTCGAGATACAGCTGAAGCAGATCGTCTTCCATGCAGTGTATAAAAAAATAAAAAGATGTGATCCTGGGTTTTCGAAACTTTTCTATATAGATTGACCATCAATCAATTCAAGAGTTGGGTTTTGCGGCAGCCCCAACACCGAACTCCCGCAGGGAAGATCTAAGCCAACAAATGAGATTTGTAAATAATAACTTTCTAGCCATCTATCTGCTGGAAGAGCTGCTAAACACCGCTGAGCTGGCGGGCTGTGGGCACTTGGGATGATTTTTCAGATGGCTTTTTTTTCAGTGGGTTTTCGAGCAATAAGGTGTAATTAACCCGAGCTGCTCCAAATAGCGGTTCTCAAGATTGATTTGGGCAAAAATAGTCCGCGCAGAGTGAGGAAGTAGAAAAAAGATACGTACACATTTGATGTAGGCGACAGTTTGACGTTTGGTCACGTGAATTGCTGGCTACCTTAAAAGTCACTCGCAAGAACGTTCCCATTCTACTAACTAACTTACCTATTATCAAATACATCATTCGTTTAGTAACTGGCACAGGAATAAACTGACATATTAAGCTTCTTGTGTATTGGTCTCGGTTTGCTACTGCTAACATGAGTTTGCAGTGGTGATAACCTGCCCGGCGTTAGGATTGTAGGGGTCAAATTCAGAACATAACTAGTTGCTTAAGTCTACGTGAGCTATAAATTATATCCCATGTCCCGGTTTTAACAAGTATTAATGGAGTTTAGCATAACTGACTTGACGACTTGTTAGGCTTGCCCTATGATGAATATTGCTCTGCCGGACACCCATCAATAGAGCACGACAGGGAATCATGGCAAGCCCAGCACCCTCCCCAAGTGCCATTCAGCGAAGAGTGTGGGATGGCCGTATTCCCCTTGAGATAGGGCTGTCGCCGGCTGAATGCAGGACCTATGATAAGGCAGACCCATATCTTGTATTTTCAGTCCCTTATATGTGAACTTCAAGCATTTTATTCCATCATCTATGCATCTGTCTAACCCTAGATTTTTTACAGATATGTTATCCTCGTGTATCATATCTGCCCTTCTTACTCCCAAGGCTACGTGCTTTCTTTTCTGCTCTCTTGATTGACATTGATGCCCAACCTCACCAGGGTTGGTTTTCCTTTGAAGGAGTGCCGCTGAAATGGCACTACCCCCTCGGACTCCTCTATGATCTATATTCGGGAGCAGACCCAGTGACCTCCAAATCCACTGTTGTGGAGGACGCTCCGCGGGCAACATCTCCACGAGAACCAGATGACGCCGCTCTCGACAATGTGCACGATCGCGGTGAGCCAATACCTTGGCGGTTGCAGGTTCATTTTAGCGACTGGCCGGACCAGGAGCTTGTTCGTCTCGATGCCGACGGAAGGGTGATGCATGATGCATTCATTAATAGTGTCAAGGAGGCCGATTTTGTGCGGAATGGAACTGCGAAGGGTATCATGACGTTGTCTAAGGAGGATTCATCAGGATTATGGCAAGCTGTCCAAGACCGTGCGTACATGCATTTCTTTGAACTCCTCTCCTCTCCTCTCCTCTCCTCTCCTCTCCTCTCCTCTAGCTTTTAATGGAGGTGAGAAAATCAAAAGCCATTACTGAAAAAGCAAGCGGGGGAAAATAAAATTTAAAAATATAGACGACTTCACAAACTTCCACCGCATCTCCAACATCCTCATCCCGAGCCCACCCGCTCAATTCCGAAACATCCCCTTAAGAATCTTCCTCCCATCTCCACCGAACGCCGCCACCCCCTCCCTGAAAGTAATCCAGTCTCTATTCCCACCAACGTTTGTTCCGCCCGCACCCGGCCAAACCCAAACTGGAGCACCGGCACGGCATACCCAGCCACAGCCGCAGACTATCGGATCGAGTCTGAATGCTCTTCTCCCTAGCCTCTTCCCGAGCAAACGGGTCCCCGTCCTGGCGAAGCCTGTGCTTCAGGGTGCGGTGGTTCCCATGACCGCACCGCTTGAAGAGGTTGTGCGTGTGGCGGGGTATGCGGATGGGTGGTTAGCCATTGTAGTGTCCATGGTGGGATGACCGGATAGGACCCGCCAGAGGCATATATATTCATGCTCCGGCTTTGGTTTTTAAAATTTGGCGTCTAGCTCGCGGGAGAGCGAGAGTCTAAGATTTTTTTTTTATTTTTTTATTTTTTTTTGGATTTTAGTTAGAACATTTGCATAGTGAGGAGAGGGAGGTTGTGGGGCTGGAGGGCTTTCTACCTTCCACATGGGGAATACGATCATGGTATCGACGCTGATGTGGAACCTGGGATTTTTTTTTTTTTTTTTTTTTTTTTTTTCTTCCGTTCAACATTTTTTCCGCAATACATTAACTAGGGATGATTTCAATCATAATGGGAAAAACACTTTGGCATACGCTAAACTCTTTCTCTTTTCTCCTCTCACCTGCTACCTGCGCGTAGAGGGATAATTAGCTCCTATTGCCTTGCCCCAAAAAGAAAAAAAACCCCAGTATAGTTAAAAAACCCCCAAAGGGGCCGGGGGGGGAGAAAAGGGGGGGGGGGGGGGGGGTAAGGGATAGGATAGGGGCATGGGTACGAATCAATCAGAATGAGTTATAGTTAGGAGGCGGTTTTCTTTTCGCAACTATAACTAGTTACATATGCTTTGTTAGCTTATGATCGATGAGGCTAATTGATTAATTCAAGGGACCTTTTCTGTTTCTGTCATTAAGTCTGCTGGTCTGATTGATGGCTAGTTTTGTGTGGAGTGAGGGGGGGGGGGAGGGAATAACTTGTCGAGAAAAAAAAAAAAACCATCGCGCTTAGGTTACGTTTTGAATTTATGCATCATTTCGACTTCATTTTTCATTCTGTAACTACTTACTAACTTAACTAACTACATTTAACTAACTAAAGCTAGCCAGGTAGGTATTTGTATATACTACGTACAGCGTATCACGGCAACTGGGATACTCGAGGGAAAAAGCAGATCGTTTTAAAGAAAAAGAGTGGGGTAATGGGGAACAAAACATGACGAGAAAAGAAAGGAAACGTTGGGAAGTGAAAAGCAAAAGAAAAGAGAATGCTATAAGAACAAGGGAATTAGCTAGCCAGCCACCCAGTAAGTTGCGAAAAGTGATTTTTAGAAAAAAGAAGAGAAAAAAAAAAAAAAAAAAAAAAAAAGCTTCATTCAATTTTGCGTTCGGTGACCCTTTCATCCACTTGGGTGGAAAAGAAAAGGGGATTGAAGAAGTGAAGGAAGGAAATGTAAGGGTAAGTACGGAAAGAATGCTAAATAGGCGTGGAAGAGTTGTGGGAGGGGGATGGGTATATCTGCCTGTTCACAATAAAAGATATTTACACAAACGACGACAAAAAATGAAATGAAATGTCTCGCTAGAGTGAACTATGAGGGAAGGAAACATAGAACCAATAGGTAAAAAAAAAAAAAAAAAAAAAAAAAAAAAAAAAACCGACATGAAGAGAAGAGAGATGAGGGAAAGCGTCTTGAATCACGGGTTTGGAAAGGGATACATAAAACATGGTAAGAGAGGTGAGATCCTATTGAGATCCTATTTATATGACATTTCGGCCGTTGATCGTGAGCTCGCCCCCTTCCTCTCTACCCTTCTTCAGCGCCTTGGCCAACATCAGCTCCCGCATCCAGTTAATCCTCTCATCGCGCGTCTTCACTGCGAAGTGGTGGCTCTTGCCCTGGCTTGTGAAGAGGTGTTTTCGCTCCACAGTAGCGTCATTGGCAGGGATGAGCGAGAATGCAAAGGCGGTTTCGTCGCTGTTCATGGGTAGGTTGGCGGCTTTGCGGAGCACGGAGCGTTTGAAGGCGGCGGTGAGTTTCGAGTTCGTCGCCAGCGAGGAGCAGGCGACGGCGTAGTCGTCAACGTCGATGAACTCCAGGGCTCGCGAGCGGCGTTGGGCATCGCGCTCGTCCTTGTGCATGGCGAGGACGGTGCCGCGGAGGGTGAAGTGGGCGTCTTGCCACTCGTGGCGGAGGAGACGGGTTTTGCGCTTCTTCATCCAGCCGCTGTGGGAGACGTCTGGATCGGACTTGTGGGACTGAGCCGACGGGGAGATTCCAGCGAAATGGGAAGGTCTGAAGTGGTTATCTGTGGTATGGTTTGGGCGAGGAGTATTGGGGAGGTCTTCTGGGCTGTCGATGGGTTGCATTGCCTGGAGTTCATCTACAGGAGCCATTGTGGCGAAAGAAGGGCGTCGTCGATGGTTGTCAGGCTTAGCCGACGATGAGCGAGAGATTGGGTCTACTGGCGGGCGCAAGTGGTTGCCATAGACCATATTAGGTGGGACTGATTGCGATGCTTCCCGATCAAGAGGCTCGATGGGGAAAGCAGTGAGAGGGACGTCCATTTCTGAAAATGGTGTGTTTGTTTGGCGAGACATATCTAGTGGATATTGGTAAGGGTTATATTCCTGAGTTGCTGTGGCCGAGCCTGCCAGCCTTGAACCCATTGAAGGAGTAACGGTACGTTGACCGCCTGAAAGAATGCCATCGGAGCCATTATCGTCTGGTATCATGAGCTTTGGAAGGTTGCGAAGGTTGTTGGCCATGTGGAGGGCTGGCTGGGAAGATTCAGGTGGGGAGAGGGTCGGGAATATTTCCATCCGTGGATTGGGCTCATGATATGTGGAATTGTTTACATGTTGGAAACTGAGGAATTGTCGAACATTCTCCTGAGGATCTCTGGGTTGTACTCCATTAAGATTCTCAGCGTTGAGTTGGAACTCAGGCAGTTGACCGGGGCCGAGAACATCAGAAGACGCGACAACGGAGGGAGCTGCATCTGATTTAGGACGCACAACGCTTCCGGTGACAGATTCCTTCCCAGTATTCGGAATAATGGTGCCGTCAATCCTGGTGAACTGATCGGGGAACTCAGTCGCAATGCGTGCTAGCTTTCGTTGTTGCTTCTGGAATCTGCTGCAATTCTCGCCTTTGGAGCACGCGTGCAGTTTCGGTAGGAGCTGCTCGATAGCCACGATAGAAACAGACTCAGCTGGAGAGATTATATCGCCATCCGCAAAGCCACGATTGGTGCGACCCCATCGACGGGATGAACCGCGAGTTGGAGCCTCAGAGTCAGTGGAGAAACATTCCGGGCTATTATTGTCTCTTCTCACAGACGTACTCCTGCTCAGCCTTTGGGAAGAGCCGGTCCGATCAGGAGCTGCTGCCGGCGCTAGAGGAGCATTCGTCGGTTCGGTACGGAAGCCCTGTATCAGATTGATCAACCGATGCCGTATACCAAAGGAGCTAATGTCAAGCTCCTTCAGATCTTCCATCTGGAGATCAAGGAGGACAGAGCCCGAGATATCATTCCGGATGAATCGCTCGACAATAGCATCCTCGAATCCAGATTCGTACATCCATTCTGCAACTTGCGTAGGTGTCCAGGACCGCACATCGTCGAAGCCAGCAACGGGAGCGATATCTGGGAGACTTGAGGATCGTGATCGTTCAAAATAAGGAAACTGTTCCGGCGACGTTGGACTGGCTCTCTTTGGCGAGTGTGCCAGCAGTCTCGAGCTTCGGTGTGGTGCTAGAGGCGAAAGAGAAAAGTACAATTCCAAATCTTCCGATTTCTCAAAAAATTGCGAATCCAACGAAGCTCGGAATAGGTGAGGTCCCGATGGCCCTTGCACGGGTTTGCTTTTATCAAATTGGAAATTAAAGGACCCCTGATCCGATTCATCTGGAGTCGGAGCTTCATCCTCAGTTGATAAAGTTGTGGCACTATCATTACCAAACTGCATATTTTATTAGCTAGTTTTTCCCCATCGAGGCGATGCGAGGAACTGTGAACTTACAGATTCGACACTTCTTCGGGGAGAGTTATCTATTGGAGAGTACTCTGCTTCATAATCGGTGTCAAATATCTCAGTCGCCTCCGATAGCGGTCGAGAATTGTAGGATCTCGTGGAGAGAAATGACATGTGGTTCGCCATCGGCTTCTGTAGCATTTGTACACCTAGCGACCGCCGTTGCTGAAATACAATTGGAGCCTCCTGCAAGATATAGGTTCAGCGACGAGCTTCTTCTTCTCTTTTGTGGGTGAACAGAAGGACAACTGCATACCATAACTGGAAAGGGAATTATAATAAAGGACCCACGAAATATGATATAACCCAGTTGTGGGATTAGTGGTAAGACAAGGAAAAATGATATTTAATAGGAAAGTAGCATATAAAAAGGAGATGGACCGTTGCCGGTGTTACGCTTTTTCTAACAGTTTAGAACAGAAGGAAGGACGACTATCAAAGCGCCTTCTGGCCTTGAGTGATATAATAATATGAGAACAATATATAATGAAACAAAAGGAGAAACGGGTATATCAGAGCAGGAAAAACAAGATCACATCAAGGGGGGAAGGACTTTCTAGGGCGAGCGGGTAGGTGGGCGCTTCGAGATATATGTAGACTTGGTGTTTGGGAATTAACGCTGTGTGCGAAGGGGGGGGGGATGGATGGAACGGCGGCGGGGGCGACTCGGGAACGGCTGGGTGTATGTATATAGTTACTTGTACCACTTCCATAACAAACAAAGCTTATGTGCTGGGGGGGAAAAACATCGGTACTTCCAACATACCTACCGTACCGTACCCGGAATACCCCCAACCCCAAGGACAAAATGTTTCCCTAACCCCCCCATCTGCACGTTTCGCCCGGAGGTTTCTGGTCGTAAGGGGGGGGCCCATGGATGTGACTGAGCAAAAGCATGGCGGGAAGCGAGTTGACGGAGTGACCTCACCACCCGACATACATTTGTAACTAGTGTAACTAGTTACCGGGTGCATCACTGTGAAGAAAGTCACTCTCGACTCCTACAGGCTGGAGGTACCTCTAGCCGGCGCAGGTTAAAACAATTTAGGTGCATTATCTGGACGACAGGAAGGGGACGGCCGGGCCCCCCCCCCAGCCAGCCCACTTGCCAGTTGCAACACGGGCGTTGAGTGATGTGATGGCGCTGATTCGGAAGGGGATATTGGGGGGGAATATTGGGGGAGGGGGGGACGAAGGTTAAGAATAGAATTATCCTTGCGAAAATTGAGGATTTAGCGGGATTTTTAGCGGCCGCGAGGGGGGAGACCGACCCGCATCGACCGACAGCGAGAATGCTCCAATCACCACGCTCCTACAACTCAAGATGCTCGCCGCCGACTGGCTCAACCCTCTCTCTCTTTTGCTCATCTTTCACCTAAGGGTGGTGGTTCGGCGACAGGGATGCGGGCGTCTGCAGAGACATCACATTCGAGCGCCGGACGGGACATTTCCATTGGCGGGAGCAGTGTTTCTGTCACTTCTTGGTGCGAAAGGGCTGGCACTTTTGCATCCAGAAGACGAGCGAATGGAAGTCCGTAGAAGGGGCTCGGTTACGCGCCCCAAAAGAAGAAGAGCAGGAAAAAAAGGAAAAAGAGGTTTGTGTTGTCAGGTTATTGGGTTTGGTGATCTTTTCGCGGTGGGAAACTTTTCTTTTATTTTTTATTTTTTTCTCTTTGCTTTCTTTCTTTTCTCCCGCTTCCCCCCCCCCCCCTCCTTTGGGAGCAATTTGCTGCTATTTTCGGAGTTGGAACATTGTGTTTCATTATTTATTGAGGATAAGCAGCGTAATGTAGTTAAGTAACTAGTTATAGAGTAACTATAACTGAAATAGTTGTTAAAGTTATGGGAACAGCAGACCAGAGTTGGATCTCCCACGATCGATGCTTTGTTATCGATGTCCTCGACGAGAAAGATGACTACTGACTTGACTTGTGAAGAGATCCCTTCATCTGGCGGGCCTACGATTTATGCCGGGTGTGAAGTCGATTGTTTGACACCGTCTGTTGGACAACAAGAATGAATAACTACTAACTACTACGAAAAACCTTGGAACATACGCTGTAACACAACAACGAAACAAGAACCAGAATCACACTCAACGCACCTTTCTCTTTCTAAGTAAATGTACAGTACTTTACTGTACATATACAAAGTAACAGGACAGGCCTGCTGACGGTCGCAGAAGAAGAGGCCTGCAGCAAAACTACAGATTCTGACGGGGGGTTAGAGGGTGAAGAAAAAACATACCTAACTAATAACTAGTTAACTAATAGTTACTAACTACTAGCCAACAAATGGGGGGGCATTAATAATTGTCCAACCCGAGTCTTCTGTACGTACGCAGTAGTAGTTCATGCGCACTTCCGCCGAGTCCGTTGCCTCCGTCTGGGGCGAAGTTTGGCACGGGTATGCGGTAGGTTATGCTATGCCACCGTGGACCGCATGTACAGATAGATAGATTACTGTACCTACCTGTGCATGAAGCATGTATGTGTATGTGTGAATGTGTATGTACCTTGTCAGGCCTGTAGAAGTACTCCGTACATACCATACATACCTTTTGCGCTCTTATATTATTCAGCATAATAGATCCGCTGTTAACTGACAAGGTAGTTAGTTAGTTACTGGTAACTACTTGGCATATACCATATACGGAGGTTCTCTGATGGCAGCTTACTGCGTAGGTCGTTCCACAAAATGGAGGTTTGGCCGCCCCGTTTTTCAGCGTTATTTAGTTAACTTATATAATTAATTAATTAATTAATTAATTAATAATTGCCCGAATCAGGCAAGCAAACCTTTCCCCTCTTTCTATTTTTATCCACTCATCAACAACTTTTCGAATTAATTTGCTGCTCATCCCCCTTCCTACAGCGTAACCTCTATAGTCTGTAAGTTGGGGTTGCAGCCAGTCAGAGCGGCTTATTTCCAACGCTGTTTTAAGCCGCAACACTAACTACACGTGACCCAGAAACCTCGCTGCTTTTGCTTCTAGAGCCCTCACAACGCCAGCTGTGGTTATCGCGATGTTGTATCTCCCTATTCCGCCCATATATACAATAGGATGGCTAGTGCTCCGTCTCTCAAGATGTATAAATTTGCTGTCTTCCGCTGCTTTGAGCATTTTCTTTCTTTGCATTCCCCTTCCATGCTTCAAGCAGCGGTTATCTTATACCCATCTCAAATCCTTTCTAGCAGCAGCGCCTCTTGTTTGAGTCGCCTTCTTTCTCCAATACACCTACAGAATGTTCTCCCGATGGTCTAAATCTTTGAAGCCCTCGAAATATTCGAGGGAGAGTCGACGTTGCCAGGAGAAGCTCAGCGATGAGCTCACTCCAGATCAGTACCGCGCGCGGGATACTCTCAGAGTGGCCAGGTTCCAGGTCACAGGCAAGAAATATGCTGATGCCACTACTGCTTCCATAGATCGTGTCGAGCGTTTCTGGTATCGGTCGGTCCCCTCACCTCGCCGTATCCATATGCATCACCTGCTAATTATGCCTAAGCAGTCACTATACATTCATGGGCGTTGAGACCTATGGCCACCTCGCTGAAAATGTCGCCGAGCACTTCCGGGTCTATGCTGACTGGCGATTGAAGAACTTCAATATCACAAAACAAAGCACTATCTGGGTTGAATGGAAATTCCTTCGACTGCTCGTCAAGAGGGAGACAGGACGGAAGGTGGATGAATTGATTGGCGAGCAGGTTAGCGAGGTAGAGTCCACACCGATGGACAGTCTCTTCCCATTCTAATCTCTGTTTTCGCAGTTCATCTTAGGACCTCTGACTGATGAGTATGATTTGGACCTATCAACCAGCTATAAACCGGTAGTGAGCGTGGAGGACCTAATTGCCATCCTTCACTACCACTGGTGTGTTGATACTGCCTCTGTCACGCATGAGCGATACACCCTACAGAATGCGCTACTGATGTTATTCATTGCCTACACCTCGGCACGGCCTGGAGCACTGATCGAGAGTGGTTGTCTCCGTGGGTCCAATGAGGCGCTCTGCTACAAGGACATCGCGCTGCGTGTGGTTCCAAACCCAGATCAACCAGAACGCCATTTGCTCGTGATGGAAGTTTCCCTACTATTTATGAAAGGGAAGCGAGGCAAATCACAACCGTGAGCCCCCCACCCCACCGCAAGTATCTTACCTTCCGGAAAACTAAAAGCAATTTGAAAGGACAACATATATTTTCCATGAGCGAGACGATAACCTCGCACTTTGCCCTGTCTCTCACTTCATTGCCCTGGCACTAGCCGACGATGCATTTGAAGCGAGAGGCATTGTCTCAGTCGAAGATATACTCCGTGTTCGAGTGCCAGCACACCGGAATAGTCTACACCTGAAGTGGAAGGCTGACATGCTTGATGTTCCGGTATTTCGCCGAGCCATGCACACAGCGGAGGGGGTTCGAATCTCCCCAGATAAAGCCCTACCGTACGACATATTAAACCAGTATCTTCAACGGCTAGGACGCAATGCGGGGTTTGAGAATAAGCTGACGCCATATTGCATCAGGCGAGGAACTGCGAATGCAGTTGATAGTGAGTCTTATCGATGCCATCTGCACCGTTCCACCGCGACATACTGATTTTCTCACGTGCTTCAGCTGTTGCAACTCCGAGTGAACGTAACCAAATCATGGGCCACTCCCGAGCAGATATCTTCGAACGCTACTATATCTCAATGAAAGTCAAGCGGGATGTGCAGTCCGCCTATCTTGGCTGCCCTCCCAAAGAGTCCATCATCCGCACAGTTGGACGCTTCAGCCTAACCCGTGATCCCCGTGCTCCAAAGGAGCTAGGGAGTGAGCACAAGGAAGCGATAGAGCAGGATCCACAACTGATCAAATTGCGTAATCGACATCTTTCGCTAAAGAAGCTGATGGAGAGAAAATATGGATCAGTTTCAAAAGCCAGGAGCAGTGACCTGCATCGCCAATACACCGAGCTTGGGGAGGAGATCAAGGACAAGCGACAATATCTCCACCGCGAAGCATTCGACCGCTTGAGAGAGGATTTTTTTTGCAACGATCGACACGATTGAGATTGAGAGGCAGCTTTTGGGGCTGTCTTTCAGCAACGAGCTCCAGGTCGAGGACCCAAAGAATGTGCAATTTGTTTTCAAAGAACGAAAACGGCTCTCACAGAACCTATTTCGATCCTCGGATTGTAGGGTAGAAGACCATACGGAGATCTATGCCCGCCGAGTGCAGACCATTCAAGACTGGGTTTCACTCTGCAGCTTACGCGAAGGACCACGCAAGCGAAGAGCTGCATCTGCAGACTCTGGAATCGATCTTGCATTCGATGAGATCATCGACGCGGATACCTTTCCCGCCCTGTGCCCTGGTACTCAATGTCTCTTCTGCCTTGGAGATGACCAGCTTCCGCTTTCTGGGCGCATCTATTCCTTTTCACGTCCCGATCATCTCCGAAGACACGTTCAAGATTGCCACTTCCGTTATCTGGACGCCACCGCTCCTCTGTGGTGCCCTCACCCATCGTGCTTAGAGCTTCTAGATGGTGTGCAGGACTTTCAGGGACACGCTCTTCAAGTTCACAACGTGTACATTTGAAGAATACTCCATTGAGTTTTGAGAGCATGTTTCTCCTTCTAGGACGCGTGAAAACACCAAACTAGCCTGGCAAGCCCATGGTCCTCACTGCTGCGGCGTATTTATTCCACAATGCGGAAGCGTTGACAGTCATTACCAAGCTCTGCAGAATGATGATGTTCTATTAAATCGAAATAAAATAGAAGCAGTTATCTCAAAGAGATTGATCTAAGTGTGCGACGGTTTGTTGCTAGTTCGCGAAGGACGTCTCTTGAGTCTGTTAAAATCCAACTTCGTATATAATAAGGAACTGTATAGGCGTAGGCCCAGGACTAACTAATGTCCTCGTCTCATGACGGCCATGAACAAAGGGTTAAAAGACGGTTTGATTTTCCAGAATTAAAGGTCCAAAGCATTTTCCTGCCCCTTCCTCAAGACACTAGGGTTTCAAGTTCTCAGTCCATTCTTCATAATATCTTCTCCATTTTATTACCATGGCCATGGCTTCAGTGTCATTTGACATATCTTCCATCCACAATTCACTTTCATTCGACCTGCCTAGAATCTTCGGGGCCAACGCGATACTAAGCTCCCTCACCCTCCCCAACTACCGAAAAGCATCTAAGTACAAGGGTAAGAAGTTGCGGATAAGTTCAATACTTCCGGGGCGCTTGCACCAAAACCACAACGAATCGAGACAAAAATGGAGTTTGATGAGGTTGGAACCACGAAGATGTGATGCAACCAGCTGAATATTTTCGAGGATGGGCCCATGCCATCCCGAATTATCAACAGATATATCCAGTTTAACAGTAAATTGTTTAAACCTTTGCCAGGAACCAGTTTGAATTGAGTGGCATTTTCTTCCCAAGATGTACACATCCTTGCCAGACAGGAAGATATTGCAGACGAGTTTTCGGTAGAGGATATCAGTTGCGTCCTCAAAAATCCGGCTATTCAGACGCGCCACTTTCAGAAAGCTGTAATTTGTGTAAAAAATCGCATAGCTGCTCTGATATTCGTCAAGATGAGAAAATATGGAGGTGTTGGTGGCATGGTGGGTTCTGAATTGGAATCATTCTGGGAAGATATGACTCTGACTTGTAGAGGACGAAAAGTGCCTAATGAAACAGCCTAGGAAGATGTACGCCCAGCCTAGCGAATATATCCGGGTTGAAGTGAAGGTTGCATATAAATCGCGTCGATGGGAGCCCATGCACACATAAATCAGAGGGACGGGGAAATGGGGAAGAAAAGGACGACAGAAGAAAAAAATGGTGCGTATGCCTGTTCCTCCGGTCTTGGAGGGTAAAATAAGCGGGAAAACTAGCACGATAACACATCAACCTCTTTGAAGTTTGCCTTCCATTGATGCCGTCTTTGCCTGTGAATCTTGCCGTCTCCAAAAGACTGCTGTCGCTTCTTGTTTGGGGAGAGGCCTTGGAGTGGTGGCCTGAGATTGGGGGCCAGGAGGCGAGAGCGCTCAAGGTCGACCAGCATCGCCCGCTGCCGCTCGCGGTTCCACAAGATGTTCGGCTCGCGAACGTCGTTGTGTTCCACCCCCTCCTGGCGGATCTCTTCCACTGAACGGCGGATCTCTCTGTTTAGGTCCGGGTTAATTATCTTTTTAAGTTCTATAATTTCTTATAAGACAATTAACATGACCTTCTTCTACATGCAGAGATTGCTATTAATAGTCAAGATGCTATCTCAACAGATGTAAGCCTGTTCTTTCTTACACACAGTTATCACATGAAAGTATTGAATCTTCTAGAAATCATACATTTCACACTGAATCTCTGCAGTTCAATTCAGATCACTGATAATATAGTAATGAAGCTCTGAGATGTCTGTGACTGAGTAGAGGCCTTCATGACAATCATGAAACAAGATTAAAAGAATCAAATCAATATTCACTGAGATTTCATTAAGTAATATAAGATAGAAGACTTGATATAATTAAATCTTAAGAATATACAGACTACACATTCATTTTATACACTGAATTATTATCATATCAAGTATAAAGTGATAGAAGTTCTAGATAGTCATAACTACTATCTTAGTATATTATCAAAGATTTATAATATCTTTCATACAAGCTTGCTCTGCTATGCTATCACTGATCTGTTTTCTTCTTAACTGATTTTCAACTAACAGCTGTCAGAGATCATAGAAGAAGATAATAAACTTGAATAAGAGATTGAAGATATTCTTGATAAGAGACTTTACAGCTGCAGCTAATAATATTTTATAAAATAAGTCAGCTATAATTATCTGATCTGAACTCTGAGTTCTGTATTATCTGAGATTACAGCTCTTGACTGATGAAAACTATACATGATTAGAAAAGAAGAAGACTAATATAACAGACTATGTCTGATTATTATATAGACTATTTCATTATAGCTCATAGATTTCACTGAAAGCTCTGATTCTCAGTTAAAAAACTCACAGAATTTCTATTCTTCTGTTCTGAAGCTTCACTGTGTATATACTGTGTATATGTATAAATATTCATTCTGATCACTGATTCTTATACTTTCTCTTTCTTTTTCTTCTTTAACATTTTTTACTTTGTTATATAAGATCTATATATTATACTAATCTATTCAGTGTAGATCTCTTACAAGTATTAAAACTGATAATTTATCTGCACTAAGTTTCTGCTTATATGAATATTCATGACAATGAATTGACTGATTCAGCAGTAAAAAAGAGTTCAGAATTAAGCAGATCTATTCAAAAAGCAGTATTCTGATCTTTTATAAAGAGAAAGATAAAAGAATCTTATCTAAATAAGTGAAATAAAAGCTGATAGAAATAAAAGAAGAGTATATATTATTCAAGATTTAAGATAAAATCAAAGTGAAAATCTTGTTCAATTAAATGTAAAAAGAAAATATTCTTATCTATAATTCAGCTGAAACTAGAACATGGTTATTTCAAATTCTATATACAAAGATTTAATGATAGATTTGATTCAATAGAATGCTTATTCTGCAATGCAAATGAAAATTCTGAGCATTTTATAATGCATTATGTATTATATAATAGTCTCAGAGTCAGATTGAAGAAGAAGTATGATTTAAATCAATTAAATATAAGGTTCTTATTCTCAACTGAGACAGGAATTAAATACTTAATAGACTTTCTATCAGAAACTCAAGCAGTTATAAAAAAATAACTGAATTCAGAAGTATCTGAATATGAAAAGATGAAAATTGATTAGATATAGTCTGTTAAAACAGCTATATACTATCTTTTAATAATTTTATTTTATTATAGTCTCTTTTTACTGTACTTGTTCTTTTCTGCTCTTTTCTCTTTATCTATTTAATATGTCTATCTTTAAGACTATGTTCTCATTTCCTTTGTCATCATATTTTTAAATAATTTCAAAGTATCAGAAGGTGTTGAAATACTGTAATTTGTAAACAGTTTTTATATTCAGAGCTGGAATTTTCTGATTTTACATATCTGAAATTGATAAATGTATAATAGTTGACTTTATGAATATAGAAAAAACTCTGAACTAAAAGTTCTTAGGTAGATATTATAGTCTCTGACTGTATATATCTATAATTGAAGAATAATAATAATAATAATAAGATCTTTTGAAAAACATCTTTTACTCTGATATATAAGTTATTTCTCCGTTATATTAATTGTTTATTGATAGATTTAATTTATATCAGAATATGTATTAAAACTTAATAAGTTTTTATATAATTTCTGCACTAAGTGCTGTTAAGTACTTAAAGTGAAATAATATTTTTACTCTAACTCTCAGTTCTTATAGTATTAATTTTTCTAACACTATTACTGTATTATTATATAACTTATTATAAGAGGCCTACGCTGAATAGATCAGTATAATATATAGATCTTATATAATAAAGTGAAAAATGTTAAAGAAGAAAAGAAAAGAGAAAGTATGAGAATCAGTGATTAAAGTGAATATTTATACATATACATAATAGTGTACACAGTGAAGCTTCAGAGTGAAAGAATAGAAATTTCATGAATTTTTCAGCTGACAATTAATGATCAAGAATAATCAGAAATGACTGAGAATCAGAGCTTTCAGCAGAATCTATGAAGTGTAGTGAAATAGTCTATATAATTGATCAGACATAGTCTGTTATATTAATCTTCTTCTTTTCTGATTATATATAGTTTCTATCAGTCAAGAGCTGCAGTCTCAGATAATATAAAACTCAGAGTTCAGATTAGATGATTATAGCTAACTCATTTTACAAGATATTATCAGCTGTAGCTGTGAGACCTCTTATTAAGAATATTCTCAATCTCTTACTCAAGTTCATTATCTTCTTCTATAATTTCTGATGACTGCCAGTTGAAAGTCAGTTGAGAAGAGAATGAGTCAGTGATAGTATAATAAAACAAGCTTATATAAAACATATCATGAATCTCTGATAATATATTAAGATAGTAGTTATAACTATCTAGAATCTCTATCACTTTATACTTGATATAACAGTAATTCAGTGTATGAGATGAGTATGTAATCTATATATTCTTAAGATTCAATCACATCAGATCTTCTATCTTATATTGCTTAGTAAGATCTTAATAAATATTGATTTAATTCTCTTAATCTTATTTAGTACTTATTATAAAGGCTTCTGCTCAGTTATGAGTATCTTAGAGCTTTGTTACTATATTATCAGTAATCTGAATTAAACTGTGAGAGTTCAGTGTGAACTGTGTGATTTCTAGAAGATTTAACACTTTCATGTAATATCTGTATGTAGAAAAGAATGAGCTTATACCTGTTAAAAGAGTATCTCAGTTATTGATAATGACTTTGATTTGTAAAAGAAGATTATATCAGTCATCTTATAGATAATTACAGAACTTATAAAGATAATTCTTTACTATCTGAATTATTCACTCTGATGCATTATCAGTCTCAGAGTGATAGATAGTTGATAAATAGTATATAGTCTTGAGAATTTGACAGATTCTTGTTCAGAGAGTGCTCATGAATTGACAGT